CACTGATGTATCAATGACGCACCACCGCCGCGCAGTATGCACCACTGATGTATCAGTGACGCACCACACCGCGCAGTATGCACCACTGATGCACCAATGACGCACCATCGCCGCGCAGTATGCACCACTGCTGCCTACGCAGTATGCACGCATTACCACAGCGCACGATGTGTCACTAATCACGATATGTACGATATGTACGATCGAAGCATCACCGTCGCAAGGAATATCAACGTTGACAGCTCTATATTCTATGAAGCGTCCTCGATATGTTCTGAGGTTCATAAGAAATTGGAATTAAATCCTTACTGGAGCTGATTCACTCAGCGTAAGAAAAATGATAGACTTACTCTTACAAAATTGTCATCTTTATTTAAGGCTTCTTGCAGTTTCGAATAATTAATTGCCATCTATTAAATTGGCAAATCCCATCAATAATAGCTACACTTCTATTTTTTGTAACACTCATTGCAAATTATTAAACACACGCTTTTCTTTACTTCATGTCTAAACCTATTTTCGATTCCCTTCAATTAATTTCTGATTTCCATGAATGCGTTTTCGAAATGTTCCTTAAGAAACAAACAAATTTAACTCCCATATTATTTGTGCAGGTCCTGACGCTGGCCGGCAGTGAGGTGGCCCTGAAAACCTACGCTGATGCGCGGACTGTGAGTACACTGTTAGAAAAATTACCGTTAACGGTATTACCGGCGTTTCAGTGACCGGTCGGAACGTGAAAAGAAACATCGCGTCGCCGTTTTTATTCTAATTTTACACTAGAAAACCGTAAAACATCTGATAATAACGGAGAAACCGTTTATTTTCACGGGGCGACCGGTCACTAGAACGCCGGTGGGACCGTTTTTTCACCGTTTTTTCTAACAGTGTATTGCAAAGTAATTATGATATGTGACTTGAAATTAGTGCTAATAGTGGTCATTATTCTCTAATTATCACAGTTTTGGACAAATTTAAATTAATCTACGATTATATCACATTCTTCTTAACAATTTTCAAATTTTAAGCCGCATGAGATAATTATACGTCGGCAACAGGTTTCAATGAGTTTCATTGCTTCTCCCGTTGTTGCAATATCATCTTGCGGTAATCTATAGAAATTTGCTAAATATAATATGAATTTTTTACGTCACATCGGTAGGCGTTAGAACGACTTTCATAAAAAAACGATTATTTTCGAGTTGTGTGGTTAAGAGCAGTTAGAGTGCGGCCTATTCTAACAGACAAGTTCCTGGTCATCAGTCCAACTCGTCCTCAGGGTGTGGTGGTGATGCTTGGGCTGGCGTCTCAGGCCTCCGACCCTCCGATGCAAGGCGTGCAGACAAGGATCAGCTCTTCTTCTTCAGCTCGTCCACCGAGATCTGACATTCCTTTCTTCTCTTCATCATCAGCAAACGCTCTTCCATTGAGTATGGTGACAACCTCTTCTTCCAGCGCAAGTAACTCTCATGTGATGATGGCGAATTCAAACAGAAACCGCCATCGTCGTAATGCCCTAAATTCATCTTCTAACAACAACACTGAGATAAGCAGGACATTTCAACTTTTAGATGAAGGTGCAACGAAAATCCAGTTAAGTGAACGATACAGAAGTGTATCCTTAGTGTTAGGTAATACGGGTTCTGGCAAAAGTACTTTTGTTCAGTGGATCGCAGGTGACAATGACAAGTTGATAGCAAAAGAAGTAAGTGCAGGTACCGGAGAGTACCTCATTGAGGATGGCAATAGAATTGGTAATTCAACTTTATAATCCATGACAATTTTTCCGGAATTGGTAGCCCATCCTGCAACGAATTCTGCCTTCTACGATTGCCCTGGATTTAGTGATACAAGAAGTACTAGAATGGAAATAGCTGCATCTTACTTCATTAAAAAAGTGGCAGATTATGCTGAGCGTGTCAAATTGATCTTTGTTGTTGATTATTCATCGGTTAGGAAAGGAGTAACCCGACACGATTTCAGGAACTTTCTAAAACATGCCACTCATTTTATCACAGATATTTATAAGTATCAACGAAGTGTTGCCATCATGGTAACAAAAATTGACAATTTACCAATTAAAGTTGATGGAAAATATCAATTACCACCAGATGAAAATATTATAGGAGCCATTGGCGATTTTCTTGAAGAGGACGTGAAGCAGTGGCTAGGGAAGGAGTTAGCAAAGTCTCTTTCAGATGAAGATAAAAAATTTTGCATTCAAGCATTAAAGTTAGTAAACGTTTCACTGAGCAAGGATGGTGAACACTATTCGAGAATAGGCATCTTCCGAAGGCCAGACGAAACGGGCCCTTTGAGTAATATTAGCGTTTTACAAGAAGGGAAGAAACGCATAGAACAAATATTGAAGGAATACCTTGAGTTCACTGCTACCAATGATGGTGATTTTGGCCATATTATATCTGAGAAGGCTAAGCTCGATATCAGGGCACTCGAGGATGGAATTCTCGACCGTGTTTTAATTGTCTTATCTCGGTAATGTTGCTGTACGCATGCTGGAGTATTACAAAAAGTTGGTAGAAACAATGCGGAGGAAGAATCACTCATTTAGTACACTTAATGATGCCGATGCTGCAAATCCATCAGAAGCTCGATCCTTTTCTGACCGTCTTAATGATGGCCATATGCGAACGTTAAACCTAATACATGACGTTAATAATGTATCTGCAGACCAGTTGGCAGAGAAGATCAGCAATATCGTAACTGCATTGGACATTTATGGGTGTACAGAGGCTATTCAGAGTATTTCGAAGCAAGAGGAATATTTTGCATTTCTGAGAGTTGCGAGCGACAAATTATTAGGTACTCGGATATGGGGTAACTTGCTGCAGCCCGTTGAAACCTACCTCTTGGGCTCCAAGGAAGAAATTCAGCAGGATATCAATGATGTTACAGGGAAAATTATCGATCAAATGCGAACTAATATATCTAATATTGCAACAAACATTAAGGAATATTATCAAATTAAAATGCGCTCCGTGGTAATTCAGCAATTACCAGCTGAAATAAACTTTGGACATGCTTTCATCATGAACATGAAGGAAAAGATAGAACATTCAAATACAACACAAGACTTATCAAGACAAATTACAAAGGCTATTTCAGATATTTATTTACCTTCAAAATCAGCCGTAACATAAACCATATTTCTAGACATGCAAAGTACCTAACGTTTTTACAAATTATAAGCATCGAAATGTTAGATAAACCTTCACCATCTCATTTAATAACTCCACTCAATGAAACAGCAACATACCTCAAGAAATCTCAAGGATGGTACGAATTCTTGATCAATTTGTATGGAAAGTTACCTACATATGACGAACAAAAAAACATTGCGGACTGGGGACAAGATGGTAAACAGCAGGAAATAACAATAACGCGACATAACTTCAGAAGAATTATGGAAAAAATAAAAGAATTTAATGTACCAGGATATAATGAGGTAGCTAATATAGAGGCTGATGAGTTACGCGTGGAGGAATTGGGAAATGTAGCGAGACTGACGCTAGACAGCCGATTGCATGCCTTGAACCAATCGAATAAACTCACAATAAAAGGAAATTACATAAAACTTAGCAAATCAATTGGGAAAATTGGGAATAGCAAACCAAATAGAGTAGAAATATTTGGTCTCAACAAAATATTCATTGACGTAAACCTGACCAAAGTAGTTGAGAAGCTGCAGCTCGTAATGATAGCCCCGACATGGGAGGTAATAGGGCGTAGAACAATAAACTTGAGTGGGGCTGACGCTCCGCCACATAATCCACGTAAGGCAAGTAACGGCAGGAGTGACGGGGGGCGAGGAGCTGACGGCAGGCCTGGCTTACCTGGAGGACCAGCTGGGAGTTTCTTTGGCGTAGGCACAACATTCTTGAATGGAAATATGTTGAGTATTGTGGCTAATGGTGGGAATGGTGGTGATGGACAGGATGGTGGGAATGGTGGACGTGGTAGCGATGGTGATTCACCTAGAAGCGATAGTCAATATTATGAGGATAATTATTATTGCAGTGAACTCTGTCTTGGTGGCCGAGCGGAAGGTTTCGAATGTAATGCGAATGAAATACATAGTAGATGTGGAGGGGGTTGGGGAGCCTGGGCATGCCGCACTGTTTGGGAGATTAATATTTACGGTAAAGGCGGCACAAATGGTGGAGATGGTGGGGATGGTGGACGAAATAGATAGGGGGTAAATCAGGTGATGTAAAGTTAATTACGCTGGATAACTATTTAGGGATTCCAAGTACTAATAACAATGGAAGAGATGGAACAATTGGCGAAGATGGTAAAGTTGCAGCTGGTAGTAGGCACGGACATTCCATTTATCTCAAGTGCATTCATGTAGATCCGTCATTTTCATCCGATTTCGATGTTCGGATATTGGAAGAAAATCGCGTATACGCTCAATCTTGAAAAAGAGGAAGGAATGGAGCAAACATCCAGAACCCAGAACCTGCGACCTTCATTGATAATAAAGCCGAGATTATCAACGATTATAAAAGTTATGTGAGAGAAAACTTCGCTGTTGATGTCGGTGGCCGCATTAGGAGAAACGATCTCATAAAATTTATCCGTGAATTGAATACTAATAGTGATATTAAGCGCATGTATGATACGTCATGACTATTAGGGGAGCTCCGAGGCTTAGAGAGACAGTATCATCGGTTACAAAAAAAGAGATTCCATAGTTTTTTATCAATCATTATTAGATAGGATAAATGAATATGCTAATAATCCAGAAGCTAACCAAAGATCCATGGAGCATGATAAGACCCTCGCCTATATGTATACAGCTGTCTTAAGCAAGTTATATGATTTAAAAAGTGATTCAGATACTTCATTGGTCATAGAAATAAACGGGTACCTTGATATAGTGATGACCAATATCAATAATTTTATTCAATTAAAGGAAAAATATAAAATGGTTAACACAATAAATAATTATAAGAATCAATATATAGGTAAAATAAGTTTAAAAATTGAGGAATCTAAGCGTTTCATCGACGAGGAGATTACACCAGCTATTGATCAAATACATGCGCAAATAGATGATAAAATAGAGCGTCTTCTGAATGAAACAAAAGAACTGCAAAGAGAGGCTGAAGAAAAGAGGGTTGCGTTACTTAAGAAAAAGAAGGAATTAGAACGGACGGTAGTCCTTAGAGGGTTGTTTAGTTTTTTTAAAAATTAAAGGGCAAGTAGCAAGTTTTTTTAGGACCGGCAGGTGCGTTCATTGGAGCCGCAAGTTCCATAACGGAAGCTTTCGTTTTAGACGACCAGACCGCACATCAGCGACCTCTACCATTACCTGCTGGTGTAACGGCTGACGTAAGGTTATTTGAAGCTCAAGTTGAAAATATCAAGGACATTAAAGTGGCGAGGAATAATGGAATATTAGACGAGATAGCTCATGAAATTGATCCACATCCATCGTTGAAGGATGTTCGTGACAGTATGGAAAGAAACAAGCGCGAGATTATGGAAATCCGCAATCGAGAGGGAGCTGTGAAGGGCTCGAAGAACGGTCTGAAGACCACGTGGCCAAAATTAAGGAAGAACTAAAGGCAAAAGAACTTGAACTAAAGACCAACAAAACCATTGATGAAAAAAGAGCCGCTAAGGCATTAGGTGCCATTGCTAACGTTCATCGTCTGATTCAGATTAGTACTATGAGCTTGGACATTTATAGTAAATTTAAAAGTGATCAAGCAAAACTTGATGCGGTGAGTAATGCTATTCAACAGGCAGAAGCAAGGCTCCAGAGTCTTAAACAATATGAAGATAGAATTTATAGTACAATAAAGCCTACATTAAATAACATAGAAAAAATCTCAAAGAGGTAGAAAGTACCCTGAGTACAAAATCTCAGGTGTCGCTTGACGTAACCAAATGGCAGGTGCAAAGCACGCTCAGAGACATAAAACTATCCATGCGCCAAGCAACCAAAGGGTTTAAAGTAGATGATAACTTGGCAGGTTGCATTGAAAAGTTGGAAGAATCCATGACCACTTTAATCCAGATATATGATCGCATACAAGACTACCAGGAACAACAAAACTTAGCTAACTATATTGCAGCCGTCGCCGCTTACCATGGTCCTGATGATATTGATCAAACTGAATTAGAAATACTCATAAGGTCTAACCTTATAATAACGCAGTGCGAAACAGCTATTAATGCAATTAATGCATTCAAGCAGTGGGTGTTTCCGTTAGCTGGTCATTATCTGGAAAGGATTATGTTGCCATCTCATTTTGCGTTTAATAATAGTAATATTGAGCAATTACCTACAAAGGCTCTAAAATCAATAGAGTATATAAAACCACGAGTATATGAATATATGCCCTGTCAAAATTTTCGTGCCGATTATGGTCGTTTTAGAGGAACTATATTCGGCTTAGGGGTGAATCAGGAGCAAGTCGGCCACGTAGGGTGTTTTGCTTCTATTTACCAGCCTCTTTTGGAAGTCAATTGCCCGGTAGGCCAAATCTGCGTAATATGCTTAAAAAGAGCAGCTGGTCAAGCTTCGTCATGATGCCCCTGGTCAAACGCTGATGACGCTATCGCACGATGGGGCTGATCAGATGCTGAACAAGGTAAAAGCACGAACAATCGAAGTTCCCGCCATACGGGGGTATGTGGGGGTCTACCTCCCGCACCCCCATCCGGACAGAGCATACCGTTGCAGCAATTGAATAGGAAGGCCGCCAAGGCGCCACTCGCCAGTTTGAATCGAACCTTCAATCGATCAGTATGTAGTGAAGAGTGCTCATTGCTCAATGCTTATCGAAAAGGTATAAGCCTATTATAGTTTTGTCTCATTCAGAGAGCTTTAAACAATTTGATGCTTTCAGAGAGCTTTAAACAATTTCCTTAAATTATGACGTATTTGACTGGAAAATTNGTTTGCCGTGAGACCAATCGGAGGTTTTCACCACTACCAAAAAACTGCCGGGCGGCACGTAAAATGACGTAAAAGAGTCGTAACGTAGCCAACATACCGTAAGTAAGCCTCAAACCAAGTCAGGAAGGCATAGAGCAACTGGCTGCATACCTCTCACCTGGCTGTCATGATGGGCACTAACTGCTTTGGCGACAGCAGGCTGTATATATAGTCCCGCCTTTGAATTAGTCTCATAGGGATTACTGAAGGCCGCCCAGTACCGCCCCCTGTTCCACGGTGCGTTGTGTATGTAAAAATGCATGTAGAAAGATGATACTGGTACCGTTACACGCGTCAGAAAGTAAGCATTAAGATGAGCACAAAAACCGGAAAACGCCAAAATTGAAAATTTTAGGGTAGCCGGTCTCCTTAAAAGTTAGAGCGTAACCTAAGCTGTTATTAAGATATTTTTCCAATATAATAAGGTGGATCGTTGTATGTTTGCGGCTGCGGCATTGCGCGATCGTATAATCAATAATGACTAGTTGAGAGCACTAGGTGAAAACAATATCGTTATGTCTTCTTCATTTCTTCATTGTGTGTACAGATTAATTGAACTGAAGGGTGTGATTTTTAAGAGTAATATTGTTCAAAATTTCCTCCTGAGGCTGTACATTTGAATATTATGAACGTGTTAATAATTGCGGTGCAATATTCATTAGATGATAATTTATCAAACTGCAGACCAATGAAGATCTCGGGCTTTATTTTGGATTTGAAGAAGACTACGGAGACAGAAAACATCAGTCG